AAAATTTTCCAACTATTTATTTCTTTTAATTAAATCAATCTTAAGCTTGTAAAATTGAAAACATTAAGCAAAAACAGACATAAATATTAAACAATTTATGTAAACTTTGTATAAATATAAATGAAAAAAAAATGTGAAAATTTCCTGAAAAAAAATTATTGTTAAATTTCATATATTAATTTATATTAATTAAATCAATTATTAATCCATAATTATAATATTGAAACACTTAAAAATAACAGATTTATACTTTGTACAAATATAATTGAAAATATTTGAAAATTCCATCATTTTAAACTTTTTTATTTTAATTAATACTGAAGTTATAACTTTCTCTAACAATATAGAAAACTTTAAGCAAAAACAGGCAGAAACACTTATAAATTATACGTAAAACTTGTATAAATATAATTGAAGACATGTAAAAAATTTAATTTATATTTTATTGTAATTAATTAAATTATGAAATTGTAATTATAAATATATTAAGAAAAAACAGACAGAATAACAGACACATAAAAAAATTCTATATAAACTTTATATAAATTTAATTGAAAATATATGAAAATTTCATTAAAAATTTAGAATTAAATTAAGTTTGTTTTATTGTTTAAATTATTTTCATTCTGAAGTTGTTACTGTATTAAAAAAATAAGAAACATTAAGCGAAAGTATACAAAAGAATCAGAATTAAACTTTGTATAAATCTAATTGAAAATGTGTAAAAATTTGATAGGAAATTTACAGTTATAAAATTCTGAAGTTGCAACTGTTGTGAAAATATAGGAAATATTAAGTCAAAGTATAGAAAATAATCAGATTTAAACTTTGTATAAATCTAATTGAAAATATGTAAAAATTTGATAGAAAATTTAGTGAAAATATAGGAAACATTAAGCGAAAATATACAAAAGAATCAGACTTAAACTTTGTATAAATCTAATTGAAAATGTGTAAAAATTTGATAAGAAATTTAAAGTCATAAAATTCTGGAGTTGTAACTGTAGTAAAAATATAGGAAACATTAAGCGAAAGTATACAAAAGAATCAGATTTAAACTTACTATAAATCTAATTGAAAATGTGTAAAAATTTGACATACACAGATATTAAAAAAAACATTTGTTTTTAATTAAAAAAAAGAGTTTATTTATAGTAAATTTTAATATTTACAGCAAATAATTATGATTGATGAAAACTAAATACAATGAGAATTATTTAATGCGCACGATTCGTTAGATACTGGAATTACGTAACGTATCTGCTGGCGTATTGTTATTCCATTGTGTAAGAAATAACGAATCTATTATTATTATTATGACGAGGAGGGTGAAAAAAAAAGAAGTTGTAGGTGAATTGAGTGAAATTACAGTCCTTTGGAGGCACGAAGGGAATTTCGTAATTGCGGCAACAACGGAAAAGCGAGGAGCCGCCCGTCCTTTTGTGTTTCTCTGGCAGTAAGTAGTTTTTAGGGGGTTGAAAAAAAAATAAAAAGAGAGAGAAATAACAACACGCAAATATCCATACATTATTCAGAGCGCCATTGAATCATTCGTGAAAGGCAAATATGCTTCAACGTATAATAATAATGGAAAGAAATTAATCGAAAATGTTGAACGAACGAAAGAAACGAATTGGTAAACAAGCAATTTGTTGCAATCGGTTTTAGCACACCGAACACACGCTCTAATTTACGGAGGATATTAACAATTCGTTTGGTTTGTTGTGTGAGCGCAATGGAAATTGGCAGGCGAAATTTATTGTTGCTTCGTGTTTTGCACCCCTCAACCCCCACATTTGATTTACAGCTGTCGAGTGATGGATTTTTGTTTTGTTTTTTGTTTTGGTTATAGTGAAAACGCGGTTGGGATTGCGAAAGTTTGGGTAGGTTTGTAAAAAAAATTTAGTGTTTTTGGGAATAAAATATGGAATTAAATCGGCGCCAGTTGATTCGTGTAAAAGGCATATTTTTGGGACGGTGAATGAATAATTTCGATGGAACGCACAAAGGGCTCCACTATTTGGATTTTTCAAAATGCAAACGAACCTTTACTGCTTTTCTCCCTCATCCGAACAATTCGATTTTACATGAAACGAAATATTTATCGAAAATTTTTCCAGCGAAAAAAAAAAACATGATAGACAACTATGCAATTTTTAATATGACTATGAACAACAATGCGTTAGCAATTTCATTTGTTTCTCGGTTAATTTATGCGGCGATTTCAAAGTATCGACGGTGAATACTTTTTTTTTTCGTATGTTTTCGCGGAAAATGATGAAATTTTTCGCATAGTTTGAAGTTAAAATATTTGATCAATTGGTTACACTTTACTGTAGTCATTCAGTTATTATCTTATAGTCAAGTATGTGATTAATCGGAACTTATGTAAGTTATATTATTACAGTTTAACTTCGGTTTTCGAATCATTTTTTTTTTCCGAGCACTTTGAGAAAATGGTTTCGGTTTTCGAACAATTCGGGTTTTAAATAGATGTCATGTTTGAAATTGGAATAAAACGTCAAAAATATATTTGTTCAAGTATTTTGAAGCATTTCTATCAATCTTTTTTAATATTTAGACAAGATTATATAATATACAACTAATTAAATCAATTGTTACTTTAAATATTATAAGGAAAATGATTTCGGTTTTTGAACAGTTTGATTTTTAAACAACCTATAGGAGTGATTTATGTTTGACATTTGAATAAAACGTCAAAAATATGTATTTGTTATGTAATTTGAAACTGTCAATATTTTTTTTGTAGATGTAGTCAACATTATATAATATACATCAATAAAAGAAATAGTAATAGTAATTATTACGAGTGAAAATTTAAAGTGTAGGAGAAACGAACAAAGGTTATGTTAAGTGATTATGTCAAATGTGATGTTGGATAAAAAATTAAGATTAATTCGCGGCGAATGCGGAATTATATATTTTTTTTGTCGCCCTGATAAATGCTTCTAGATTTATACAGTCTCATTAAGAACACGCAACGCGAATAGTCGCATAAGTTAACATTACTTACGAATTCCATAATTCATTATAACTTCTGATATTAAAATTTCTCTTATTACATTTTTTTTGAAAATATATTTGTAAATGCATGCAAGAAAATATTATAAAGAAATAATCATTAAGTGCAATTTATTTGTTTGCATTTTTGTTTAAACTTGTAGAAAGTGAATAAACTTTATTCTTAAATCTTAAAAAGTTGTTAAAAAGTAAATATTTTTTTTGTGGATTATTTTACAACTTTAAATCATATTTATTAAATGGAAAATCTTTATTATTGAAATAAAATTATTAGAAAAAAAACACATTATTATTTATTTTGATGAAACATAATTATATCTATATTTGAAATTTTTGGATAAATTTTGTGAATTCTGAATATCTTACTAAAAACTCCGAAGAGAAACAAAAATATTTTTTGAAAATTTTCATAAAATTGTTAATTCTTATTAAAAATATGTATAAACTTTTCATATACATAGAAAACACAGTTTTTAGTCTTCACATTGTGATTTTTTATAGAATCATAAATTATGTTTTCTATTTAATTCAAATCTTGCGTTAATTTTGGGACACCCTTTATAAGCTGCAAAAAAAATGTAAATTATAAAAATTTGAAACAAAACTTTTGATTAGTTTTATATAGAAAATGATAGCGATTTTAATTTTTTGCTCGATTAACTGATGAAGATATTGAACTTGTAATACGAATTTGTTAATCAGATCTTATAGTAAATTTGAAAAAGTTATAAAGTAACAAAACATATACTAATCTAAGAGATAATGAGAAAGAAGATTTGAATTATTATACAAAAGTAATAAAGTTATAAAAAAAAGTAGTAGATAAAGAATATAATTTAGTAAGAAAATATAAGAAAATATGAGAATCATAATGACCAGGAAAAGGAAGAACTAATATTTCAATATAAAGTTATTTCTTAGGTTTTATACTAGAGAAAGATTAGTACACTTAAAAATTGAAGCAAAGACAAGCAGGATGAGAATAGAAAACAGGGTATTAATTTAATTTAGAAAAATTATAAAAAAAAGTCAACTGTTACAAAGGGCTATTGCCTATCTCTATCTTTGCAAGAGATTTATAAAAATATACTAAAGACGTCAGACAATCAGTATAAGCAGAAAAAATCAGCATTTTATTAGTATTTAAAACAAAACTACAAAAATCATAAATAACCAGGAAAAGAATAAAATCATTTTACAAATGGTTTAATTGTTGTTTGAGATTAGTATACAAAGGACATATAGCTAGAAAAAGCGTAGTAAGAAGGATAAGAAAAAACAGTATTGTAATATTAAAGTTAATTTAAAAAAAACTATAAAAGTCATAGATATAATTACTTTTTTACATTGAAACAGTTCGTACAGTTCTTTTAGGAAAAGCAACTTTTCCATAACAGAAAATTTTTAGTTATGACTTTCCAGTAATAGAAAAGTTACAAAGTCTAAAATTCACTTTCTTTACTTCCATCTTCAAGAGTCTATAAAACTGACACAAATCATTTCAAACCAAACTTTTTTTCTAAAGAAATGTCACCTGTCAGAATATATCCAATGATATTAGCGAAATTCAGGACAAACTTTCGGGACAACACAATAAAAATAATGAATACAAATTCAAGTATAATTCGATGATATTGGTATCATCTATTACATCAGTGATTCCCAAACTGTGCTGATGATTTATTAAGGACACCATAAACCGAAGAAGTTTGGAAACCCCTGTATTAATACGTGGCATAATCAGTTTGTCTGCTGCAAAAAAAAAAACAATTTGTGAACAATTCATGGACTGTGTGAAACGTTAAATATCTTACGTCAATTACTAACTTAAACGCTAATACTCCAGTGGTGTACATGGCATGACCCACCGGTGGCTCATGTCGACCTTAACGTGTTAAATAATAGTTTATTTGAAAAAAATGCTAATTATATTTTCTTTGTTTCTATTTTTATTGCAGGTGGATGTTTTTTTCCCGAACGATGGGAGGGCACGTGGTTCCAGTCGGGCGTGCGGCAACCGATCGTCATCGAAGGGCCCAGACTGAGCAGCAAGGGCCGTTGTTTGGGCTCGGAGGGCGATAAGTTCCTCGTCGTTGATGAGTGAGTAAATAAATTCAAGCTTGTTACAACTTAATTCAAAGCGGCGATTTATGGGCCTCCCTTATAAAAGCCCACAAAGATTTATATCTAATGTGGGCGGCTGTGAATGTGAGCTCGCGCGCTACAGACTTTCGGCAGAGGGGTGCGGTAAGTGCAGACCGCAGCCGCCACCCCCCCTCACTCTCGCGACACACACATTTTTGTTGCTTGTTTTTACCCACATAAAATATAAAAAAAATATATATTTTTTTTTATATGTATATATGAAAGAGGGAACATAAACATGTAATTTTTTTCTTTCTTCTCCTTCCAGCAAAAGGGTGTGCTATCGTTGCGTTGTGATTCATGAAAAGCACGCGAATGTCCTCCAGTACAAAGAAAGTAAGTATACAGAAATATATATGTAGATGTGAATATGAGAATCTTGTATTTAGTCCTATACTTTGCATCAATGGTTCCCAACATTTTTTCTCCCCCTTCTAAAATCCGAAAGAATTTGGCGAATACCAAATGTAGTCCTTAATAACTGAACATTTATTTTTCATATTGCACAATAGTTCATAACAAGGAACGAAAACATAAACGTAAAACATCTAAGACTAAAATGATAGCTATAAAAAAAATTAATACAAAATCAATTCAATAAACCAACTGATTCTTAGTTAAGCATACGTTAAATTTGAAAGGCTCCCTTAGTGGCCTTTTATTTTTGTTGTTAACGTATTTTATTATACATGATGCGAATATATACGTCATAAGCGCTACGCAATACAAATTCAATTCAATTTTAAATTCTTTTATTATGTTTAGAGGTGTTACAGTGTTATTACATTGGTTAGTTTTTGTGGCTTTTTGCGAGCTTAAGCTCTTTGAGCCATTAAACGCAATACAATAGACCATGACGAATATATACGACATAACCACTTAAGGGATTAATGGGATATTTGTGGATGGAACAAAGCAATTCAAAGTTTGGTTCAATACCTGACAATTTCAGTCTTAGATCAGGTTCTGTATTTATCTTTCAGATAAAAGTACATGTTGAAAATCCTTTCTCACATAGATATGTTGTGCAAAACAGTAATAGAGCTTCAATAGCTTTTTGAAGATTTTGATAGAACATGATATTCATTTTATATTGAGCTAGAAGTCAAAGAGTGATTTTTAAAAATAGCTTTTAGAGAACTATCACAGGATAAGTCTCTGAGTTTTTCTTTTTCTAGTAAAGTTAGAGAGTTTTCTAAACTTACATTATATTTCATCTATTAGGAAAATAGTCATCGAAAGTTAGTTAAAGACTGATACATCTTATATTCTCTTTAATGTTTTCATCAAGTTTAATTGATTTTTCTGGTAAAAATATCACAAAAGAACCAAAACATTCGTACGCATTTATCTATAGAAATTGGATCAAAAAATTGTTAGAATTGTGGCATCAATTCTATCATACACACTGAAAATGGTGACACTTGCACCTTCTAATGACAGATATAAATGATTTAATTTACAAAAGATGTCAGCTAAGTATGTAAGCTTTTGCAGCCAAAGAATATCGAATACACAAGAAGACAAATGAAACGGATGATCAATAATGCTTGAACTTCATACTTCAATTCAAAACTGTCACAAAAAGCCATCTAACTTCTGTGTGAAGTAAAGGGCGTTTCTACAATTAGCAATTAAAAATTACTTCTTGCGTGAATTTTGGGACACCTTATAGTAGTAGTTGTCATATTTTCGCTTTTTCCCTTTATTCTCATCATGTTTACCTTTTTTTCATTGCTTTTAATCTGGTGAAATGGTAGCACACTAGATCTTTTAGTATCATCACGTGTTGTTTCTAAATGACCTATTTTAACCATCAATTCATAATAAAATTGGAGTATATTAATTATTGAAAGTTATGTACACTTGACTAAGCAAACAAAGCCACATTACTAATCATGAAGTTTACAAGACTCTGTACGAACTAGGATTTATATAAATTTAAAAAGATATAACAAAATTGAATCTTACAAAACAAAACTTACATAAAACTATAAAAAAATCGAATTTACTCCATAGAAAACCATAACTATACTGACTATAAAATATTATTTTATTTAATATTTTTCTCAGAACATGTGTTTTAAAAAGGTTAGAGCGTCTATAGATCTAATACTCAAACAGGTTCTTGTTAAGATAGAAAATTTGCAAAAATATTCTCTCGCTTGCTACGTGCACACGAAGATCACATTCATTACTAGTACCAGACGGTTTTTTTTATGTTATTACAAGATTTCTTCCTACTGATAAACTGAACGGTTGAGAACCTCTGCTATACATCTAACTCGGATTACGTCGTAATGCGTATACACTCACTCTCAAATATATATATTTTTCTTTCTATATTTTTCCCTGTTTTCTTTTTTCAACTCGTATATATGCAATAACCCGAACATAAACATGAATGTTATTATTATTTTTATACGAGCCGCTGTTTTATGCCGCCCTTATTCTCCCTTCCTTTTCTCCATCACATCCATTGTCTGTCTTTCTCTCTCTTATTATTTGCCTATCCACTGGGATTCCTCCATGGGGGGATGGAAATAAAAGAAGGATGAAAAAAAATAATAAGTCTCGAAACAAATCGCCCATATTTATCCAGTCACTTTTAGGGTTATTCACTAGATCAACGGAAGTGCGAGTCGCGGAATCGCGTCCGCTTTAAGTGTTGCCGGGGAAATTTATACTCGAAGTGCGATTCCTTTAATGAATTCAATTCGTTCTTGCGGAGTTCGAGTTTACGGAAGATCCGATGTTTTTAGTATACTAACGTGCAATGACCCAAATTAATTTGTTTTTCCTTTTTATTATTATTATTATTAGAATTAGATGTGTTTTTCGTTTACATTCTATAATTTATATTACACAATTTATTTAGGTTTTTGAATCTATATTTTTTAATTATTAGCATAAAAAAATCAATAAAATTAATATTTGTATAAATTGGTACCAAATTTATAAATTAATTATTACAATTTTTATACATTTTCCACATCTTTTTTTAATATTAAATAGAATTTAATGAAATATTTATGTATTCGATAAAAAAAGGAATAAAAATTTGTTCATTACCGAAAAATCTCCTTATTTGGTTACGAAAACGCGATGAATTTACGATGAATCATCTGCACCTGCGGATCTCAAACGTTTGCATTTTGCACACCTGCATAACAGATAGATAAGAAAGCAATCAAAGTTAGGCGAAAACGCCCGATCTACAACACGATGAATCAACTGCACCTGCGAATCTCAAACGTTATAACAATTATTATATTGCCACAAAAATTAGTACGTTTTGTACATCTGCATAATTGCATAAAATCTTATACAATATTACAATGATAACAAAAATGTAAGTGTAAACTTAACTTCAGTTTATATGTACGAAAAAAGTAAAATAATTTAAAATTATTACAATGTAAAAAAATTACAATTTTTATTAGTATTTTTGTGGTATTGTATACAATATAAATTTTTAACACTTTGACGCAAGATGACAGCTGTCATTTCTAATAGATAACAATATTGTTATATTGATAACACCGTTTATTACCACATTACGTAAATAATTTTGTAATAAAAAATTGTTATTGTATATATTTCTGCATTTATTTGAAATTTAATTACGTAATTGAATAAATAATACATTTTTTTTAGTATTTTTGTCGTATGTTGTATTGTATTTAAAAACGTTACTCAACTTTCTTACTGAGCGACGCAACATATTCGTTTCTAATTATCTAGCAATCCAATTGTATACAATATAATTTTTTGACACTTTGACGCAAGATGATAGCTGTTATTTCCAATAGATAACAATATTGTTATATTGATAACACTATTTATTACCACATTACATAAATAATTTTGTAAATATAATAACATTGTTATTATATTTATTTCTGCCTTTATTTGAAATTTAATTATGTAATTGAATAAATAATACAATTTTATACAACATACATTTTTGACACTTTGACGCAAGATGACAGCTGTCATCTCGGGACACATTATTATATAAGCATTTCAATAAAAAAAATAAGTATTTCTAGTAAATTAATATTTCTAATAGATAAAAAAATGTAATTCATTAATATTACATTACATAAATAGTTGTGTAATACACATTATTACAATATTAATTAATTATCTATTTGTATATTTTTTTTTATAATTCAAATATTAGTATTATATGTGTGTGTCTGAAAATAATGAATGTTTCTTTTTTCTACAGTTTTATTTTTTTTGTTGAGAAAGTCACTGTATGTTCGGAGCGTTGGGCAAGATGCGGCGTGTAAAATGCAAATGAAATCGATTGCGGTGAATTATGATAAATTGCCGCCTCCGACGTTGCCACCGCCGCCTTCTAGATATTATTAAATTTATCCTCGGGATTCGGATAAGCCGACGCGCATTGAATTATGGTGGATGCGCCGGGTTCTCATGGCCGCCCCGAATCCTAAATTTTTATTAAATATCTACATAGACACACAAAAACAAAAAAGAAGTTTTATGACATCGACCCACAGTTTAGGCACATGTACTAGTTGCTAATGCGAAATTTGTAAAGTGGAGAGGAGAGGAGATGAAGAAAGCATTTGCATTTCGCGGTCCGGGAATCTTGGCAAATTATAATTAACAAGCTCCGAAGTAGATGTGTGTGCAAGTGTGTGTATATGAATGCGTGGTTGGGATGGTTAAAGTATGAGTTTGTGTGTGTGTGTGTTGGAAGGAGATAGATTCAGTTAGACTGGCGGAATCGATGTTGGAGTTAAGTTATTGTCTGTGCTTCTGCTGCCGCCGCTGCCGAAGCTGCCTGATGATAATAGCACAAAACCAAGAGGAAACGGGACAAGGCGACAAGGGCTGAAGCGGAGGCACTTGCTTGGCTGTTGCTCTTGGCTTGTTACGATTCCAGTTTAAACGTTTAAATCGTAAGCAGTATAATTGGGTATTCTCTAAGCCGCTACTAATTTGATTGAATTATGCCCCTTGTGTTGTTCCGCTTCCCTTCAACCAAGTTATATCATTATTATTTCGCCCATCTCCGCATTCTATACCATTCCCTTCTCTTCTCATTCATCACCAAAATTTCCACAACTTCAGCACAACTCGATCCCTTTTATCTTCTCACTTTTCTTTACTCGACTCGAGAATTATTAATCAACATCTTTAATTGTTAATTTACATTACATTATATCACATTATAATATAAGTACAAAATCCCACATCTAGTAACAATAATTATTTCAAATAATTTGTATGAAAACGTCTTTTCTCTCTTAAATTATCTTTTTTTAAAAACATATTACTAATATATTATAAATTATTTTAAA